CTGACTCAGTCCCCTGGCCCCGCTCCAGGCAGGAGGGAGGCTAGGAGCAGCTAAGGCAGCCTCACAGGGCACTCCGATCTCGCCTGCTGTCCCATCCCTGACCCGGTCCTTTCTGCTTCCGCAGACCTGAATCTGGACTGGACCTTTGAGGAAGCACCCAAAGGTGAGGGGGTGGCCCGCTCAGCTTGGCCTTGAATTTGACCCTCCCTGCAGCCACACCTGGCTCTGGGGCTTCCCAGTTGGCTTAGTTCAACCTGAGGAGTTTGTATGCCCATTTCCGGTAAGCTCCCAACCCCTGGCAGGTGGCATTCAAGAACCTCAGCTTCCCTGCCCAGTGAATGCCCAGCCCTGGTGGTGATTTCTCTGGGCCTCTCTTTCCTGATCCCTAAAATGGGGACACTACCCACCCCAGAGCTGTTTTGAAGATTTCTTAAAGAGAGCAAAGCTCTTAGTGCAAAGCCCACACTAAGGGGTCCGGAACACCAGCCTTTACCCAGGAGCTACCCAGAACTGAGGGTGGGCATGGGTGTCAGAACCTCCAGTGGTCAACCAGGTGACCTCAACCCCTGCTCTCACCTCCCCGACCCTACCTGTCTTCTCCCACCTGCAGTGGCTTCCTCCTGTGCCACCTCTGCAGACTCAAGGTGTCCAGGGCCCCAGCAAAGACCTGCATCCCGGCCAAGCCAGGCCTCCTCTCTGAGCGGGTAAGCCGCCATGGGGAAGTGGCCTGAGGGCTGCAGAGGGGCCCTGGCTTCCCTGTGGGGACTGGCAGCCCCTGGTGGCAACAGCTGGCACAGCTTCAAAGTAGGCAAGCAGGGGATCTGGCTCCCCTGACAGTTCAGCCCCTTCTCAGGATCCCCACTACTCCAGACACCCCCTTCCTCGCCAGGGCCCAAGGGGAGTGGTAGGCAGGGGTGGACTTTGCACCTATTCCTGGTCAGGACCCCCATGATGCTTTTGTGGTTGGTAACAGGATTATCACCCCAAAGATCTGCAGGTTCTATGGGGTGGAGAGCTGGGCGTCCCACGAGTAGGCGAGTAGGCATGGATCTGTGGCCATCGCTCTGATGCCTGAGAAAAAACAAGGGGTGGAGGGTCCAACTTTCCTCCCAGGTGCCGGTGCCGCGGAGAGGGGAGCCCCTCCAGGGAGGTGAAGGGTGCAGCTGCTTTTCTCTGTGCAAACCACACAGGCCCAAGCCCGGCTGCCTGGACCTGGAGGGGTTCAACCCCACCTTGGGAATGAGGGACTTTGCCCTCAGTGAAATCGATGAGCTTCTTATTCTTTTCTGGGCAAGATTCACCTCGTTAACATAGCCATACCGACCAGGCCTGTGGCTCTCGGCATCATCAATAAGATAGAGGCTACGAGCTCAAGAATTGGGCTCAGGGTTCTGGATTCAAGCTGGTGTGCCTTGAGCAACTTAACCAACCTAAGCCTCAGTGCCACCATCTGTTAAGTGGGGTCACTGAGTGGTCATGAGGATTAAGGCTCATAGCAAGTCTCCACAAACATTATTAATATAGACTTAATCATGACAAGAGCTTCCTTAAATGAGGAACGACATATTCCATTCTCATTATCACCAATATTATTTTGAGAATAGAGAGCAGAGTCATGATTACAGCCAACAAATCCTGACCCTGCGGTCAGACATTCCATCATTTGATAAGCGTGGTACAGTCATTCCATTTAGTGAAGACATCCAAATTCAACAGAGGCTGGGACCTTTAAGCCGGCCAAGAAGGGAGCCCTGGAGGGACTAGGACAAGTGTGATGGCAGTGCCTGGAATGTGGCTGGAGTGGCCTTGCAGATGAAGTCATGAATTCAGCACCCTCAGAGCAGGGAGGCCCAGGGCTCTGAAATCACGTGCCCAGGGCTCCAGGGTCAGGGCTGCAGGCTCTTTTCCTGCCCCGGCTTTTCCTCGGACTAGTATCTAGTCCCACACCCTCGGGCACAGGTGCAGCCAAAAAGACCAGCTTCACAGAATAAGCACTAACATACATAGCCTCAGTCACGGGGCAGACTGAACGCAATTGCAGGCTATGCACCAAGGCCAGCAGGAAAGGGGCAGCCTATGCATCGTGGAGCAGATGCATGTGTCAGGCCTAAGCTTCACCACACCCTTGCGTGGTGGGAATCGTTCTGACGTTACAGGCATTGAATCTGAGGCTCTGACAGTTCAGTCACGTGCCAGAAGGTAGCACAGCCAAGTGGTGGAGCTGAGATTTGAACTCAGAGCTCATAACCTTCCACGAGTTAACACTGCTCCCGAGCCTGGGGCAGGAGAGGACGGGGTGCACTCCCTCCACCGGGGCTGTGTACTCCCTAAGAATGCCATCCCCTTCTTCTAACAGAATCTGGGACCTCTCTGAATAGTTTTCCATAACACCTTTCTGCCGGAACCCTGGTGTACTCTCCTTCCTCGTTAGGTTATTTTTA